TTTTTTATTAATCACAATAAGTTATGATAGTAAACCGTAATTTTTATCTTAAAAAAAAAAAATTGAATAAAATTTCATTCTGTTTAAATAAAAAATGTTTACAAGGTTATATGCCACAGCTATAATTTTAATGGTCATACAAGACATTTTCTTTAAATAATTTATATAGGGTCATTCTTTTAATACTAGCCACTCAAATTCTCATAAAATATTAAGTTTTTTTTTAAATTTTTTTTAGTTTTTGTTAGTTACATATGTATTTTCATTTATCTGTTATGAAATCATTTTTAAGTTCATTCCTTATATTTTATAGTAAGGTTAAAAAAATTACTGGTCAATAAAAACTTTTGGACTAGTATTTTGGGTGTTATTCATATTTTCAAACATAACGGCAGCAAGAGTACGACCGGGAAATGACTAGTGTTAAAAATAGCAACACCCACTCTTCACCTCCTGTCATTACATTAAATTGTTTATAACTTCTTAAATAGTGGTCCAATAGTTGTTATAGAGCAGTCATTTTCTTTTTTATGAGCTAGTATAATATATATATATATATTGGCCATTTATAAAAATTAAGTTGACACACCTATAAGATATAAGGAATGAACCAAATAATTATTTTACTATAGATAAATAGAAATACATATGTAACTAAAAAAATAACAAAATAAAAGGTTTCAAAAACTTAATATTTTTTGAGAAATTGAGTGGCTATTGCTAAAAGATTTTTTTGATAGAACTCTGTATAGTTTTTATGACCGTTTTGATATTCCATGTGTTAATTTATTCACATTATTCAATCAAAATGTCATATTATAAGTATAGTTTTGGTCTATATTATTCTGGTAAACATTATTAGATGATTTACTGTTCCATGCTCATGACATTTCTCTAGTTGATTCCAATTTCTAATCTGCGGGATATTTTAGATTTCATATCAGATAAACTAAATATAACCATAACTGCGTGAAATCATGTCCTTCTACGAAATATTTACTACTGTTATATTATTGTTTCATCTCGGGTAACTTCTTTACAAATGAACTACATTGAATGTTTTGGGGGAATACGCAATGTTATTACGAAATAATGATGTAGTGCTTTGAACAAACGGTCATCATGTTTATTTTATTTTTTAAATCTTGTCAAAATATGTTTTTCCTCACTGTTGGAAGGCAAATAAAAGCAATAAAATTATACAAAGTTGTTGTTACTATCCAACACAAAAAAAAATGTAATATTGTATATAACGTTGTATATGTATATCCTAGCTGAAAGAATATTTTTTTTTTAATCGGTTCTAATTTTTTCAAACATAAATACAGTTTATTAAATACAGTTCTCAAATCTCTTATATGGCTAATACGATCAGATGTACAGCGAGAACATTAGTTTTTATACCATAAAATATAAATGATTGTTGTGTAAAATATTTTTTTCAAGGTAAATATAATAATACTCCCTATGTACACTTAAAAAAATTAAAACAGAAAAGGTTCAGCAACAAACAAAATTTACAGCTTTGAAAATACTCTTTTTCGGTGTTCCACGGCCGACTACTGTTTATTTTCTTTTCCGGATGTATTTTTTAAATATGTGTATTACACATACACATTGTGTATGTGTAATTCAGGTATACGATATATACATGAAATACATGCCTGTTTTTTAGGTTTTATAGACATGTTTTTTACGTTACTTTTTTTACACACATTATACTTCAACTTATTTGTAAACCTATATAAAAATATTTAAACGACACAAAAAAAAGCATGCACTATGGTTGTAAATTAATTCCACATTTTTTATTAAATTCTTAATAACTAATGTGTGTGTTCTTAAATTAAATTCTCACTTTTAAATTTTACCTCGGTTTTTCGTTCTTTTAAAATAGTACCAGAAGTTTATTTTGTGAAAACATTGTTAAAAACAGCTTTTGTGATTCACTACACTCTGAACCCTGTAAATTGTCAAAAAAACAACACTATTACACATAAGGAGGCGTTTGTGAAAGTCATTACTCCTATGGACTTATGTATCATTTTTTACAGCAAACAATACACACCACAGTCAAAATCTAAAGAAAATCTCTCAAGAGAGCACTTGCCAACGTTCTAGTTTCGTCCAATTATTTGCGTTCTTTATATTTCGATTATTTTTTTCTTTTGATTCCGTCTAACATGTTTGTAGTTCTGACAATTAGACGAATCTGCATTACTAAAATTTAAAATTTAAAAGTTTTTTACACAAATAATGTTTTGTTTTCGTTTTATATATATTTTTTTAACTATTTTGCATAATTTATTAACTCATAAATACATTACCAAAGAATTTTCTCTATGGACCGGAGAGTTAATCTTTTAGAACTACCTAGTTATTTACTCTAAAGAATAAATTGCATTGCAATGAAATATTATGTAGACCCCTGCAGAAGGTTGTTAACGGTTCACTTTGTTGATTTCCAGTATTTAGTATTTTTCGCCATAAAATTTCCTATGTTTCTACTATATCTATATCCTTTATAATAGGACAATCAATATACCAGTTGAAACAAATCAAACGACAACTTTTATAATTGTTGATAGAATTGTCATTGTGCTGTAATAATTTTTTTAAACTTTTTTTGCGTTCTAGATTACGTTAAAATCATATTTTTCATAACTTATTTTAATATAGTCTAAATTGTATGAATTATTTAAAAAAGTAATTTACAACGAAATAAAAACTATTACTCAAACTAACAAACTTTAATCTAAAATACAACAACACCCATTTAACATATTAAATGGTTCTTGAGATGTTAATACCGATCCCAAGACAAATATTGGTCGTACATTTGAAATAAACTGTACCCAAACTACCGAATGCTTTTGTATTTCCCTTACAACTTAAAAGGTTGTAAACTTTTATACGCCATAACACTGCTAAAGGTTGAAGATCTTTCAGTTGATGTCACATAATTCTGTAAACTATTAGAGATATGTTGTTAATGCCAGCTTACATTTGTTGTGTTGAGTAACACTTCGGGGCAAGGCGTCCCAAAATGTTCAATGTGTTAAATAGATTAACCAGTGCAATGAATCGATTTAACTTGTTCTTGTGTACAAAAATGAATATAAATAAATAAAGTGTATCTCGGAGTATAATAAATTGATAGACACGGAATTGTTACTATTAATTATTCTTAGACTCCTGGATTTGTACGATATCTATTTGTTTTTATTTTCTTCCTGAAAGTTGAACCCCTCTCAAGTATATCATATTTTTACACTTGTTGTTGTAATCATAAAACCCTTAGCTGATGCACTGTTTTACAATGCAAAATTCATATTGATACTCAGACGCACCAGTTCAAAGCAGAGTTGTAAATTTAAAGTTATCCCGCCCGTGTCGTAAAAAAAATACCTATATATAAGAAGATACTCGTCTTCCTTTGAAATGACCCGATTTTTTTCTTTATTTTCCGAACTAATATTATAAAATCTGCCGCCGCTTTTCAGTTGAAATCATGGACAAAGCTGTGGTAATTCAAAACGGTCGAACAGTACCAGGAAAAATTTATTACTAAACTTTTTACTGACTTAATTTTTCTTTCAGATTCAACTCATGCACTTTTTTATATATTTATAAAAAATACTTATTCCATGAGCTTTAGTTGTTTTATCGTGGTCCTATAGGAGTTGCATACATAATTTTAATTTTAATAACACAAAGTACTTATTAAAACTCTAGTTTAATACCTATTTGTCCTTAGAAAAAATTACTTTCCCAAAAATGTCTTTAAATGTTTCCTATCAATTTTTTTATCAAAGTACACTTGCAATTAATTGTTTACTATTCTTGTTACCTTTGTCAAATATTGGCAATATTATTTTATTGTTTAATTTCTATTTGTTTTTCAAGTCTAATATCTATTATATGCTGTGAATTATTACTTGTATACTTCTCAGTTTTATTTTCCGTTTTCAAAGTTAAAAACATTTCTATTGTTAATTTTGGCTGAATATCGTAACTTAACGAGGTGTAAACAATTAAATGTCGTTTATCCTAACCGAAAAAGACGATTAATAAGCACTTGAAACTAAGTCCTCAACAAATAGAGGTTAATTTAGACAGTGATAAATGCATTGAAGTTTTATTCTCTAACACCTTGATAATTTACAAATGTCGAAATGGTCAAGTGAAATTTAATTCCCCTTCCTCTTAAGTTTTTTTCTCATTAAACTAAGATAAATACTTAATATTCTATTTAAGTGAATAGCATTTTGTACAACAGCTCGTTTGTAGATACAGAGTGACAGTCTATCGCTAATCCGTCGCAAGTTTATATCCCAAGAAAAATCAATTAATTTCTTATTTTATAATAAAACTACTTCAATAAAAATACATATATTTATCAAAACGAATTCATTTACTAAGTGAATAAAACATAAAATAAACGAAAAAAAGAATAAATATAACTCTTGAAACAATAAATTCCTTTCATGAAATCTTTCATTGCACATGATTTTGACAAAATATCTCCACACATACTAAACTAATAATCGATTACCTACTATGTAATTAGTTTCACTTACAAACGAATTTTAGGACAATTTAAAATTTCAAAACCTACTTTTTTTTTTTTTTTGGTTTATTTAGAGCTTATGGGTGGCAGTAGTGAGACAGCAATATGTGTTACCATAATGATTTATTATTAAATATTTTCAAGTTTCTAGTAAAACTAATATTATTGATTGTTAATTCCTTTTGAAAATACGATTTATCTCTTATTGACATGGTCTCAGCTCTGAATAAGATTACCGATTGTTAAATTGATGAACGTTTGTCGTCGACTTGTTAACCATTTCTTTTATATATGAGTAAGAGATGTATATATAATGCATTTCACAGAATTCATGTATTATTTGACAGAAAAAAATCCCAAAGAGAGTATTATTTCATCTTCAGTAGCGATTTTATGTTTTTATACGAAATAAAATGTCTTTTGTTTTTAGATATTTACAACTGTACGAAAAACCGACTACGTTGTACACCTTTCCAAAGTATCAAAAAAGATATATATAAGATCATACGCTAAATCACTGCAGACCGAGATTTTTTCTCTAGACTTTACTATCAACTATGGCCTAGTTGGAAACTATCCCAAATATCTATACAGGTATTTATACAGGTAATATTTCTTATAAGCGATAAGACTTAACAATAAGTTGACTATCATTTTATTTAAAAAGATAATGCCTTTATAGTAAATTAAGTGATATCCATAGTGATAAATTAACTCTGAAAAAATATTTATACATTATTTCTTTTTCCTTAACTATTTTTATAATTATTGCATGTTAAAAATCATTGACAATAAAATATATATTTTATAAAAGGTACTAGTTATCATTTTAATCAGACAGTTGTGATAAGTGTATATGTACGTATCAATATAAACAAGCTATTAAAGAATAATCGATAAAGAATTTTTTTATCAACAACTCATCCGTTTCAATTTCCCTCTAATTGGATATTAATCAATATAGTTATTATTATTTTCCATCAGTCTTGGCTCTGTTAGCGGAAATTCGTTACTATTGTATCATGTGATGTGAGTAAATTAAAAAACAAACAAAATAATAGATGTTAATTCTTACAACCTTGAGTTTCATTGTATGGAATGCCAACTATCTAGTTGCTGATAAGCCTTTATATTTATTTCGTCAATTTAATTTTACATGTGTACATTGATTGACAATGTAAATAAATTATACATTAAAACGCATAAAATAGGGGAAAATCTTTAAAATCTTTTTATAAAACTGTTTTCTTATAAAATTTAATACATTTAGAAAAGTCAAATGTTTTGTTCATTATGTTATATTACAACTGTATAAGCAGTCAAATAGAATCCTTTCAGATGTACTCTGAGATTATTTCATCTAAACAAAATCTTGGAGTGTTTAAAATTAACAACGTCTCTGAACTATAGAATTGAAAAACGTCTTTTACTTTGTTCGGTTTTTCAGTTGTGTGACTATATAAGAAATTGTTCTAATTTTAACTTATTTTAGATTAGACGTTCATACAGTATCACGACAATTCATAACTTTAAAAGTTATTTCATAAGTTATCTTGATTACCAAAATTCCAGTTACTTTTAGCGTTAACGTCGTGCATTAAGTTTATAAACAAAAGATTACACAGCCTATATTTTTACTTGATATTAGTGCCTTTTTGTTAAATTAATTATTAATATCAATTTAAGTTTTGTCGCTATTTTCTATCATCGGTACCTAGTTTTGCCATTTTCTCATTTCCGACCACTTATCATACTGTCAGAATTAGGTCGCTTTGCATTCAAAATTAATTAAATTAGTTTATGTAGAAATTATTGTTAACTATTCTGATTATTTCGAAACAACTACAGAACATTATCTAATTAAACACTTTATATTGATTTATTTTACACTATATTTACTACTTTATACATTATGTTGAATATAAAATTTATCGTATTGAGTATCTGAAGTTTTATTTGTCAAAAAGAGTCAATATTTAGACATGTCTATACGAATTTACAATTGTTTGCATACATCATTTATCCTTAACCTACATAATAAATCCTCGTTATTTAAAAAACAAATAGTTTTTAAAGATATCGTAATATTTCAATTACAGCAAATGTTTTGTATTTGCCATCGTGGAATATTAATAAAATATATTAAACAAAAGGGAAAAAATATTTTATTTAAAAATTCTTAACCGTAATAAGATTTACTGTCCTTGAATGTTTTTCTATCTTATACTGTGCTGCAAACTCACAATAGTTTTTTACAAAACTCCAATTTTAGCCTTTAGCCATTTTTTAGCATCGTCGGTTGCAGATCATATTAAAACGATTAAGAGATTTAACCTTTTAATAACTTTTTTCGATCCATTACCTTCGTTTTTGACGTCGCCATGATCAACATAATAATGCCGGATAATACTGAACGTTGATTTTATTTATATAGTAATATATTGTCCGTGTACATATATTACTAGCTTAAGGAAGGTAAAATGATAAAGTTATAATATTAATAGTAAAAGTATACTCTAACTGAGCTTCAATAACAAACGATAGCAGAGGAGTCTGTTGATGGAGACCGGAAGTTACGGTCCCATAGAGTTTTAAACGCCGGCATACTAACAGGTATACAATATAATTTACGATACTGTATAGATGACAGATATGTCGAAAATTCCTCCATACACATTTTTATGAAACGTTAAAAGTAACGATAATATAAGGTATTTTACTTCATGGGTAATGCTCTTGTGCTCCATAAAATTAAATTCACTTACGGCTTTCAATAATAATTGTTATTAAAATTTACTTATTCTGTTTTGAATGTTTAGTCGTTAATTAACTCTTTCGTATTATAATTGTATGGTAATCCTATACAAATTATGACACTGAAAATGCAGACGAAATAACGTTTGTTGATAAAAAATAAAAAATTCTAAATTGTATAAAATATGCTAATATGTGTGAGCAGCAGTTGAAAAGCTTCGTAAACAATAAAAAAAACTATTGTGATGCTATTATTGTATTTATACGCCTAAATTTCCTATGCATTTTAACAGAATATACTCCCATAATTTTTTCCAATCTTTCAAGGAATAGACTCATAACTTTTTCTATAATTTATGTTGATGGCAACGATGTAAAAAATTTCTCTTTGTAGTATTCCAGTACTGTAAGACTGTTGAGTTAAAAAACTTATATTTTATTCTTCAGTGGAATTTTATATGTAGAAATTCGTAAAGAAATAAATAATAGTTTTTATGTTTTACTTTCATAACAAATCGTACAAATGAATTTTTTTCTTTTCAGATTTGAATAATATCAAAAACAGTCTGAGTTATAAAATCATTTGATAATATTAATATATTATAATAATATAATATATATTATATATTATATATTATAATATGTATGAATTATAATTCATAATAGAAAAAATGTAATAATTTGAGATATAGATAGTAATAATATTAACAAAATAGGGCAGAGTGCTTTTTATATCATACTAATTTTATTTTGAAATATAATCATAATTTATTGAAAGCAAAAATATAGTATAAAATATCCAAAAGATATTAACATTAAACTTAATAAAAAAAAATTCTTTCAATTTATTTTATACTTGAATGTGTTGAAGCTATTTTATTTTTATTGTAATTGTTAAGAAATAACTTACGTTTATTTCAGGCTTGATCGTTTTAATATTATAATTGTGATATCGTCGTTAAAAGTATTATGTGAATATTTTTGTACTAAGTTAATAATACTAATATATACAAAGTGTTCAATAAGTAAGGAAGCAAGTCAATTGTTAGAAACAATTAGAATAATAGAATCCTTTTTCATTATATAATGAACACTCTGTATACTACAAGAAATATTAATTTTTTTTTTATGGTATATTTTTGTAACTAAATAATTATAAAATAGCAGATATTTAACTTCTGAGTCAAATAGGTATAAGCCCCTTTGTTGATATCAGGTCATAGCGAGGGATTGGTTAAATGGCAAGAATTAGTTTTAATTTAGAATTTAGACTTAGTTCGTTTTCGCCACTAGCAAAGCTGCATAGTTTATTTTTCGGATAAAATGTACAGTTTTGTGTTTATTTTTTTATTAATTTGCTATAATAATCCAGTTAGTTGTTCAACCAACCATAATTGCATTTTTTTTATTTTTCGTGAAAAATATGTATAATATTTTATTAAATTAATTTTTGTGAGCACAATTTTTTTATTCAAGTTTTTCTTATAAAATATTCAAAAAGGTATCTATTGTTACCAAATAGTCTCAATATTTTTTTTACATTCAAGTTAACTAAGGAGTATAATTCAAAGCAAAGTGCTTAAATTTTTCTTTATTACATTTTCTATGATTACAAAAACATTTAATTTTACCTCTTTAAAATGTTTGCTAGTATTACTATGCTGTAACTGACAAAGAACTACTTTTCAGCTGCTTTTGGGCCGTCCGTATCGTTAACAACGAAGTCTTTCCCGCTTAAAATTGAAGCGTAATTCTCTCTCGACATGGTGAATTCATTCTCTGTATTTCCCTTTGTTACAGTAAAACTAGCAAAGGGTGTGTTGTGTTCCCTAGCGTACAGAAGTATATGACTTGAATATCAAATTAACGTTCCCATCAAAATTAATCCATTGGTTTACGATTTAACTTAAACATTTAAAAATTAATTTTTTTTTTTTAATTAATTTTACATCTCATGAAGGTTACTTGAAAACCATTCTCTAATTGATCAGAACTGTCATAATATTTTGATCTCTTTTAATTGGTAAGTATCCAACAACTCAAAGGATGTTTCAAAACTTAATACGTATTTTATACAAATTATTATTCTTAGGAGTATTTACTGTACAAATATTGTGCTAAGCAAAATACGTTTCCATTTAAATCTTTTCTGCTCCTTGTACAGTTACATTTTCCTAAATTACAATTTTTATACATATTATCTTTAATAATTTAATATATATTTATCTCTATGTATATATATTTAAATAAAAACAATTTTCTCGTAAAAAAAAATGATTTCAATATTATTTGGAAATTTTTTTTTAGTAGCAATAGTAGATAGAAGAAGAATGCGTCCCCTTCACTTCCTTTAATCGGCCACTGCAAAAAAACTGAAACTAAGGATATTTTTACCTAAAAGAAAATCTAAAAAAAAATAATATTAGCCATTTAAAAAATGTGAAATCTTTTAAAAATTTTAGTTCTGGTTCAAATAAGGCTCTAGTTTAATACTATTATAAATGAAACTTAATTTAATCAAATTTATCCTTAAGAAACTCGTTTATGTTAATCTTAAATTACCAAAAGGTTCACTAAGATTAGAAGTTTATTTTATTTTGGTGTTATAATTTTTTTAAACTATTAGAATAAATTAATTTCTATTTTGTTTTTAAACTACTTGAAACTTATTTAACGTACTTAATTATGTATCTTTTCGTGTATCTATTTCTGACGTTCATTTTAAGATGTGTGTGTAAAATATGGAAGTATAAATTTGTCAGAGTTGAATAATGACATAATAAAAATTATGAAATAAAATCCAAATTAGACATTTCGTTTACATCACATTTTTATTTGTG